AAAAAAAAATAAAAATAAAAATAAAAATAAAAATAAATAAAACACGCTACAATGTGGATGAACCTTGAAAATATACTGAGTAAAATAAGCCAGTCTCTCTCTCTCTCTCTCTCACACACACACACACACACACACACACACACACACAATACTTTGTGATTCTACTTATATGAGGTACCTATGGTAGTCAAATTCATAAAGACAGAAAGTAGAACAGAGGTTATCAGGGGCCGGGGGAGGGAGATGGGGAGTCCGTGTTGAACGGACAGTTTCAGTTTTTCAAGATGAAAATTCAGGAGACGGACGGTGGTGATGTTTGCACAACAGTGTGAATGTGCTTACTACCATGGAACTGTATGCCTCAAAATGGTGAGTTGGTAGGGGCGCCTGGCTGGCTCAGCTGGTAGAGCGTGCGACTCTTGATCTTGGGGTCGTGAGTTTGAGCCTCACGTTGGGTGCAGAGACTACTTTAAAAAAATCGTAAGACAGTAAATTTTATGATATGTGTATTTTATTTTATTTTTAGTGCAATGCATTTTCTTGGCTAAAATAATCAAGAAAATACAGAACAACATTTCTGTGCTCATCACATGTGATCCCTCAACCTCTCTTTGATGCGATGCCATAAGTTTGTAGTAATGTGTTTGGGGTGCTGTTAGAAGTGCCTTAACTGATACAAATATAGAGTAGGAAAACACTATTGCCCCTCAAAGATGTCCCTGGTTGACATTTAGCATAGTGTCTTCCTATATATAGAAAGGAAAGACAGAGACAGAGTCCTGATTTTACCACGTGAGTCCCTGGATTCAGCTGTGCTTGAAACCAGTATTTCCCTCCGGACTTCTTGGTCAGAGAGGCCAACAAATCTCACTTTTATCTTCAACCACACTGAGATGGGGTGTCTGTCACTGGTGACCACAGGAGTTTTTGTGGAAGGTCTTTATTTTAGGGGGCTCTACGGTGCTTGTCACTGATGTTACTATCCCCTTGATGTTTGTTTATTTATGTTTTATTGTGGTAAAATATATATCACGTGGGGTGCCTGGCTGGCTCGGTCGGTAGAGTGTGCAACTCTTTTTTTTTTTTTAAGATTTTATTTATTTATTTGACAGAGAGAGACATAGCGAGAGAGGGAACACAAGCAGGGGGAGTGGGAGAGGGAGAAGCAGGCTTCCCGCTGAGCAGGGAGCCCGATGCGGGGCTCGATCCCAGGACCCTGGGACCATGACCGGAGCCGAAGGCAGACACTTAACGACTGAGCCACCCAGGTGCCCCTAGTGTGCAACTCTTGATGGGGTCTTGAGTTTGAGCCCCACGTTGAGTGTAAAGCTTACTTTATACCGTTCTAACCTTTTTATTTAGTAATCTCTATACCCAACCCAAATGGGCTCGAACTCACGCCCCCAGGATCAAGAGTCACACCCTCTTCCAACTGAACCAGCCCTGTTTTAACCATTTTTAAGTGTACGACTCAGTGGCATTAAGTATATTCACAAGGCTGTGCAACCATCACCACCATCCATGTCCAGAACTTGGCATGGTCCCAAAGACAAACTCCGCACAGTTCCCCATTCCCTCCTGCCCTGGTCCCATGGCAACCACTGTTCTACTTTCTGTCTGGATTTGACTCTTCTAGGGACATCATAAGTGGAATCATATCATCTTTGTCCTTTTGTGATTGACATTTCACTTAACATCATGTCTTCCAGGTTCATCCACGTCGGAGCATGTGTCAGAATTTCATGCTTTTTTAAAGATAGAGTAATATCCCTCGTATGTATATGCCATATTTTGTTTACCCATACACCTGTGGATGGAAATTTGGGCTGTTTCCACCTTTGGGCTCTTGTGAATAAGGCTGTTACAAACAGCCTTGGGTGTACAGATAGTGGATGGATTTTTATACCATCCCTCAATACAAGGAGACTTGTGTTTTAAGTTGACCCCATCAAGAACTCACCACAGGATCTGCAGCCTACACACTGGGTGCCTCAAGCCTTGACATAACAGCCTCAGACCCAAATCCTCCAGCGCATTTCCCGTCAGGTCCAACTCCACCAGGTGTTGATTGGTGCTGAGCACGGAGGCGATCTCCTGGCAAGCCCCAGCCTCCAGCTGACACTTCCTCAACCTCAGGAGGAAAGACACGTTGAAGAGGGCACCATCTTGCTGTCCTCTACCCTGCTGGCTCATCCCCTAGCCCCTTGAAGGTGGTGCCATTGAGGCAGGAGTGCACCATAGCTCAGGGTGGGGTCTCTAGAGCTCAAGACCTGGGTATGTCCATCTCTGCCGCTCACTAGCCCTGCACCTTCGAGCAAGTTGTCAGCAAGTCTGTTTCATGTTTCAGGGAGCTGCCGCTGTGCCTTAGGTTCATTGCCTCTAAAATAAGGATAATAATCGCACCTGCTTCCTAAGGTTGTTGCAACGACTACATACTTTACTAAAAGGACAGGGTGTAGAACCATGCAGGGCACACAGTAGGTGCTCGGACAGTGAGTTACTGTTTATTAAAACCGTCACGGTGGAGGGGACGCCTAACTCAGGTTTGGCAAACCACGCACAATTAGGGGAGACTCTGGGGAGTTTGAGATGGTTCTCGAAAGGCTGAGTAGGAGTTCACTGTCAGCAACAGGATGAGACGTGGCAGGAGACAGTAGAAAACACATGTGGTGGTCTCTGCCCCCACCCGGTTCCTGACACAGGGCTCCTGAAACCCCTGCATTTTCTATGTGACAAGAACGCTAGGAGCGTCTCTGGTTCTAAAAGGTGGGCTCCCGTCGGCAGCTGGGCACCAGAGAGACCATGCCAGGATGAGAGGCTGGCAACGTTCAGCCCTGCCCCCCACCTCCACCAGAGAGCGGGGAGGGGCTGGAAATGGAGTTAATGATCTGCAGGCCACAAGAGGAAGTCTCCATAAAACCCCAAGAGCACACAGCTCGGAGGTTCCAGGCTGGTGAACAACGTCCATGCTGGGAGGGTGACGCACCCCAGCTCCGTGGGGCAGAAGCTCCTGCTCTGGGACCCTCCCAGACCTCACCCCATGTGGCTCTTCCACTGGCTGTTCATCTGCAACTTTCACCATATTCTTTAATAAACAGGTAAGTGTTTCCCTGAGTTCTCTGAGCCGCCCTAGGAGATTAATCAAACCCGAGGCAGGTTCAGAAGCCAGGTGACAACCAGGGTTTGTAACTGACTCTGAAGCTGTGGGGGGAAGCGTGAGGGGGGCATCTCAGGGGACCAAGCCCTCACCTGTGGGACGTGACGCCACCTCCAGGTAGATGGTGGCAGAATGGACTTGAACTGTAAGGGAACTGTAGGACCCCTCCACTGGTGTGGCAGAGTTGCTTGCTGCAGGAAGCCCCACACATTTGTGACCAGAAGGGTCAGAGGGGAGTGAAGCAGCCCCCCAGGGGATACTGGGTGGCTTGTCTACAGCAGTGGCCTTGCATCAAGAGGGTGCGGAGACTCACTGGATCACCTGAAGCCTGCATCTGGGATGCCGGAGCCCCTCGCAGAGCAGCCTCACGCCCGGCAGCCCCAGCCCGTTGCAGCTTAAGTCCACCCTTGTTAGGTTCTGGTTGGCCATCAGGGCGGCCGCGAGGTCCTGGCACGCAGAGCTGGCCACGCAGCACCTCTTCAGGCTGGGTGGGAGGGAGGGGAGAAGGGCCAGTTCACCGTGGTGGTGGATTCTGCCCCTTGTCCTTTGTCCCCCCTTGCTTTGGTCTGTACCTATTCTCCCCTTTTTCTAAAGTAAAAGAAAGGAGATCAGGGGGTGCCAGGGGCCGGGGGGGGGGAGTTGGGGAGTGCCTGCTAAGGGCTAGGGTGTCTCTTTCTGTTGTGGGGAAAATTACCCAGAGTTTGTGGTGACATTTGCACAAGCTTGTGCATACATTAAAGAAAAACCACCCCTGAGTTTTCCAGTATGTCAATGATACGTCAATAAAAAAATAAATAAAAGCAACAATAACATAAGATGTTTTGGTGCTTTGCAGTGAAGGAAATGCTGTCACAGAGGTGCCCTTAGAGAGGAATTCTAGACCCTCCTACTAGCTCTGCTCTACGGCTTTTCCTTCACTTGGAGAAGGAGGTGCCTTATGGCCAGTGGGTCCCAAGGAACGCACCGGCCCCGTGGAAGCTTGCTCATCGCTGCGTCTCTCCCTGAGCCGCAGGAAAGCAAGGCTGATGGCATTGACCTGAATGAGTTGGTGACATATGTAAGTTCTTGGCATGGTTCCTTGCATGTGGCACGGGTTCAAGAAAGTATGGTATTATTTATTATTATGTCTTTGGGATCGGGCCCATGTCCTGCTCACAAAATGGTTGCCTGCTTTGCTGGGCCCTGATCCCTGGGTCTGCCCTTCAGGACTCGGGCTATGGGAGCAGGGCTGTGTTCTGGGTCAGGGTCCAGACACCCCTGGTTCCCTCAGCTGGCTGTCATCTAATTTCTGTAAGCCATGCCTTAATAGTGCCATGTTTGGTAACAGCATGGTAGAATATGCATAAGGTAAAATTTACCATCTTCACTTTTTTTTTTTTTTTTAAGTAATCTCTGCCCAACGTGGGGCTGCGACTCAGGACCCTGAGGTCAGGAGTCCCCTGCTCCTCCGACTGGGTCAGCCAGGCGCCCCCGGCACCAGACTGTTTTAATTACTAAGGCTTTGTGCACTCCGCTCTGAAATCGGGGAGTGTGATTTGAGGTAGGAAGCCTGGAAAGGAGGAGATAAAATAAGAGAAGCAGGAGATAATGATGCTGGAATTTCTACTGACTGCTTCTGGTAGGTATGGGCTGAGTCGCGTCCCCCAACATTCATACACTAAAATCCTAAACCCGCGTACCTCCGAGTGTGCCTGTATTTGGAAATAGGGTCTTTAAAGAAGTAATTAAAATGAGGTCACCGCTGTGACTTGGTGTCCTTACAGAAAGAGGAAATGGACACAGACACGCAGGTGTGAACACACAGAGGGGAGACTGCAGAGGGTAAAGCCGCCCCGCCCACACCTGGATCTCAAACCCAGCAGCCCCGCCCACACCTGGACCCGGAACCCAGCAGCCCCGCCCACACCTGGATCCCAAACCCAGCAGCCAGCCCCGCCCACACCTGGACCCGGAACCGTGAGAAAATGAATTTCTGTTGTTTAAGCCCCCAAGTCTGTGGTGCTTCGCGAGGGCAGTGAGAGCGAGCACCACCGTCTAGTCTTTCTGACGGAGCCCCCTCAAGACGGGGGTGCAGGCCCCCCTGGACTCACCTCAGGTTCTGAAGTTTGCAGCCGGGGTGTCTGAGCCCCTGACACAGCAGCCTCACCCCCCGGCTGCCCAGCGCGTTGCGGTACAAAACCAGCTCCGTCAGGTTCGGGTTGGTGCTCAGGGAGGCAGCAAGCCGTTTGCTGTAGGCCTCTGGCAAAACGTTCTTCTCGGGTCTGCAAGGAGGGGACACAGGACAAAGCCTGGCTGTACCAGACGCGGAACAACGATTCTATGGGGACTGTGTGTCACCTCCTGCTTTATGAAATATTTGTCATCTTTACTGGTTACTTTTTTAAAGTAGGCTCCACGCCCCACTCAGGGCTTGAACTCCCAACCCTGAGATCAGGAGTTGCACACTCTATGGACTGAGCCGGCCAGGCGCCCCTCATGCGTGTATTTTAAATATCCCACTGTAATTATTATTATTATTATTTTTTTCCCCACAAGCATTAGCAGCCCACCCAGACCGGGCAGAAAATGTTCAGGCTTTGCTCCTTGTTGATTTAACACCAGGGAGCCCTTTTCCACCCTTCCCCTCACCTCTACTGAACAGCAGAGTTGCGGGGTGGGGGGGAGGCCAGGTGCAGAGGCACCTGGGAGCCTGGCAGAAACAGGAGCCCCACTTCATCAGAGATTCTGGGGGTTCCTCCAGTGATTTATACATCAGGAGGCCTCCCATGAAAATAGGGATTTCCACACTTTCTTGAAAAACCACCAAGTCCAGCTGCACAGGGAACTCATGAGCACGAGGCAACTGCAGGCGCCCTAGCCGGGTGTGTGATGACCTTGTTCCATGAAACCTCAATGGTTTCGTGGTGGCCAGCCTGCCCATCTCTGAATCCTGTTCCCCGAGCATAGCAGCTTGAAACAACACAGTCGGTTATCTTCTAGTTCTGGAGGTCCGAAGTCTGAAAGGAGTCTCACGGGGCAAGCGTCCAGGCGGGTGTCTCACCTGGATAATCCAAGACCTCAATCCCCACCTCAAGATCTTGAATTTAATCACAGCTGCAAAGTCCCTTTTAACCTGGGAGGTGACCTATTCACAGATTCCAGGATTAGGGTGCAGGTGTCTTTGGGGGCGGGGGCATTATTCCACCCCCCACTCTAGCCTTGGCAAGCATTTGCATTTATAATTACCGTTTAGGAGAGAATAGAAAGTATATGTATTGGTCTCTGCCCCTGGTTCCTGGCACAGAGCCCCTAATATTTTCGTGATTTCCTAAGTGGTAAGGGCCCTAGGACCATCTCATTCTAATATGTGGTCTTTGACCCTGTCCCTGACCCAGGGCTCCTAAATCCTTTGGACTCTCTGGGTGATAGGAGAAGCTTTTGTTCTCATGAGCTGACTCGGGGTGAGCTTCTGGGTGGGGCTGGTGACCAGAAAGACCAAGCTATAATTAGAAGCTTTGCACTTTCTGGGGAGTTTTGGGAGATATGTAATTTTGGAATCTCTAAAATCTTTATGACAGTCCCTTCCTCTGAATCAGCCTGGGATGGAGAACGGGCTGACTCACATGGCACAGGGCATGACATGCGGCCTGTAAGGCCTTCTGATTTACTTCTAGTTATACAGTCTGTCTTAAAACCTATGTTTAGAGGCGCCTGGGTGGCTCAGAACACACTACCCCAAGAGGTGGTGGCACCTCAAATGTCTTGAGCTGAAGGAGTCTGAGAAAGAGGCAGAGGCTACCCTACCCCACCACCATCTGGCCCTTCTTCCCTGAGAGCAGATCAATCTCCCGCATGAAGGGTCTCCTCCCTGTACCAGAAGGAAGAGGGGCGTGCTGATCACCAGAGAGTGAATTCCCGGCCAAGAAGGCTATATAAACAACCTTGTTACCTTGCACTGCCCCCCAGCCCAAAGCTCTTTGTCTTGTCAATTCTTTTCTTTTTTCTTTTAAGTAAACTCTACGCCCAATGTGGGGCTCAGACTCATGACCCCAAGTCCAAGAGTCACATGTTCCACTGACTGAGGCAGGCGCACCCTTAATTTCAGAGATCTTTCATTTTATTTATTTAGGTTTAAAGATTTTATTTATTTTAGAGAGAGCACACACAAGCAAGTGCATGTGAGGTGGGGGAGGGGCAGAGGGAGAGGGAGACAAGAAGATGCCCCACAGAGTGGGGAGCCCCATGCGGGGCTCGATCCCAGGACCCTGAGATCATTACCTGAGGCCGAAATCAAGAATCGGACACTTAACTGACTGAGCCAACCAGGAGCGCCTAATTTCAGAGATCCTTTAATGTAGCTCTCTATGTAATGACATGATAAAGCTGATTGGAAATTCAGCCTGACATGTCCTCAGATGGCCTGTCAATTCCTTACAAGTTGACTGTTTTTTATCCGAATGAATGAGAGCCTCCTGCTGTGGTGCAGGCTCCCAAGCACATGTGAAAATTCAATAAACTGTGTCTGCTTTTCTCCTGTGAGTCTGTCATATGTCAGTTTAATTCTTAGGCCCAGCCAGAGACCCAAAGAGAGAAGAGAATTCTCCTCCCCTACAGCTCCAAGACAAACCTGCACAAACACATCAGCCCATTAGTTTCCCCCATATTTCTGCCTTCCCACAATTAACCTCCCGAGAAACTCAGTGTCCTTTTGCTTTGTCTTGCCGCTTCTCTAAAAATGTATTGTTCTTGTGTTAGGATGCTATAAAAGCCCAGGTTCTATTTTTTTTTTTTAAAGATTTATTTATTTATTTTGAGAGAGTGAGAATGAGAGAGAGAGAGAGTACATGACAGGGGGGAGGGTTAGAGGGAGAAGCAGGCTCCTCGCTGAGCAGGGAGCCCGATGTGGGACTCGATGCCGGGACTCCAGGATCATGACCTGAGCCGAAGGCAGTCGCTTAACCAACTGAGCCACCCAGGCGCCCACCACCCTGTTTTATTGTCCTTATAACGCTTCTCTCCATCTGAAACTACCTGAATGATCAATTTTTTTTTTCTTGTTTGCCTGTTTCTTTATTTACTGTTCATTGTCTCTCTCCCTTCCCATTAGGATGTCTGGCTTGGCAGGGGCACTGTTGGCTTACTCACACTGTCTGCACCCTATAGAAAAACACCCTTGATAATATTTGTCAGCTGGATATGCTCTCCTTGACCGGGGCCCCAATTTAGTCCAAATGGATACTGTTTAAGAGCAGGTCACTAACCTGGACACTGTTGACATTGGGGGCCAGACCATCCTGTGTGATGGGGGGCCATCCTGGGCACTCTGGGGTATCTTTGCAGCATCCCTGGCCTGCATCCCCCAAATACCACAGCAACCCCCTACCTCCTCTAGTTGTGACGACCCAACATTTCTCCAGATATTGCCAAGCATCTCCTGGGGTGGCGACAACATCAACCCCAGTTGAGGACACAAACGCGGTTGAGAGCAAGAACTTGGAAAGTGAGCCCCACCGAGTACTTACGACTGTGCCGGCAGCATCTGGGGCCCCGAAGCCCATCTCCCCCCATCATCCTCGTCCGTGCTGTAGGCAGCCCCGTGCAAATGCAGCGCCAGGGCGCTCCTGCAGTTCTTCACACAAAAGGAGGAAATCACGTGCTCCATCTTGGTGGCCATGTTGCTGACCACGACCACTTGGAAGTGGCTCAGGGCCTGTTGGATAAAATCCTCCTCCTGGATCTCGTACAGACAGCTGAAGAGCTCCAGGGAGCCCTGCTGCAGAGTAGAGCCCTCGCTCTGAGCTTTGCTTTGGATCCACTGCAGTAGCTCTACCTTGATGTGAGGCGAGACTTTCCAGCAAAGACTCTTCTCCAGGTAGCTTCTCGTCTCCTCATTTAGGAGTCCAAACAGGAAACGGACGGTAAGGGCCAAGAAGCTCCGTTCTGAAAACCCGTACTCAGCCAGCAGCCTTGTCACAGTCGGCTCCGGGCCGGACCCACCCTCCCTGGGATCCAGGAGGTAGTACATGGCAGCGAAGAATTCCTGGAAGCTCAGGTGGATGAAGCTGTAGAACTTTTCACAGTTGATATCCTTCTGGAAGATGTTCATGTTGAGGAAGGAAGAAACGTCTGCCCCATCTAGGCCATGCTTCCGGAGGTCCCGCTCCTCAAACAGGATTTTCTGATTCCAGAGGCCATCTGCTGCCAAGGAGCACAGCCCTCTCTGGTTGGGTGGGGGCTGGAGGGTCGGGCTCCCCGGCTTGGGCTGCATCAGACTCAGGAGGTACAGCATGTACACCGCTGTGGTGGTCCTGGATGTCTGCCTTAGGAGCCCCCCATCCTCCAACTGCTGCTTGAGGCAGGTGCAAACGACCCAGCACACCATGGGGACGAAGCACAAAGTGAAGAGGGGCTCGTTGTCCCTCACGAAATGGAAGACTTGGCCAGCCTGCTCCACATTGTGGAAATACTTGTAGAAGTACTCCTTCCTTTCTGCCTCAGAGAAGCCCAGGATCTCCACGTGCCTGGGGTGCTCCAGCCAGCGGTGGAGCTTCTCCAAAGCGGTGGGCCTGGTGGTAATGAGCACTGACAGCTCGGGCAGCAGCTTCTTCCGAATCAGGCTGCAAAGGAGAAGTTCTGTGGGCCGTTTCTCCCCCCAACAGAGGCACCAGGGGCCCTGAGGGTCGTGGAAAGAGGGTTTTAGCTCATCAAAGCCATCAATAATGAATAGGAGGCGCTCAGGCACTCGGACAAGCTCCTGGAGGGGCACGCTGGGCTCAGGCCAGCAGCTGGAGATGAGGTCTTGGGCGCTTTGCTCGGTGGTGCTCTGGTTCATCTCCCTGCAGTTGATGTAGAAGACGTAATCAAACCTGTCCTGGAAGAGCCTTCCGTCGGCCCAGTCCAGCATCACCTTGTGGGCCAGCATGGACTTGCCCATCCCTGCTGCTCCCTGCAGGACCACGGTGCGCGGCGGCTCCGGGCGCTCCTCGTCGGGCTCAAAGAGGGTCTCCAACTGGATGAAGCTGGCCTGGTGACCCACGGTTCTCGCCTGTCCCCAGCCAGTGTCCAAAAGCTTCTGCTGGGCCCACATGGGATTTGAGTGTTCCTTCACCAAGAGGAGGCGGGTGTACCTGTGGCTGAGGTTGACGCATTCCCCTAGGCGCGCATTGCGGTCTTCCATCAGCCGGAACTTCCTGCGGACATAGTCCCTGTAGGTTTCCCGGGGATCTAACGGGGAGGAATGAGGGGTCCGTGGGAGACTCATCAGCAACCGTTCACGGATTCATGAGTTAAAGCAAACCACAGTCTAGTGCCTACTTGTTCTGCAATATCCGTGGGACGGTTTTCTGGATGGAGCCTGGGAACCTTGGTACTTCTCTATCAAGATCTCCCCTTTCCTTGGGAAGCAGAGGCACTAACATGGGAACTATCCTTACAGAGTATTCTTTTTTAAAATTTTTTTTATTTTTTATTTTTTAAAGATTTTATTTATTTATTTGAGAGAGAGAATGAGATAGAGAGAGAGAGAGAATGAGAAGGGGGAGGGGTCCAAGGGAGAAGCAGACTCACTGCCGAGCAGGGAGCCCGATGCGGGACTCGATGCCGGGACTCCAGGATCATGACCTGAGCCGAAGGCAGTCGCCTAACCAACTGAGCCACCCAGGCGCCCCTTACAGAGTATTCTATCCTTGCTGCTCAAACGGTGGTCCACGCCCAGGAGCTGATGGAAGACCACAAGGGCACCTAAGGAATGCGTCAATCTAAGCCACCGGTTGGCTCGGATCCTCCCAGTGAAGAGACACTGAAATCCCTTGTGGGCTCACAAGGAGCTGGTGGGAAATGCAAAGGTAAGCCCCACTGCCCACCTATTGAATCAGAAACTGCACTTCTAACAAGACTGCTGCGTGATTTGCATGCACGTTTAAGTTTGAGAAGGCAGTGCCGCCAAGATTTCCGTGCCCCCTTTGGAAAAAGGCAGATTCGTATCTGCACCAGAGAACTTACCGTTCTATAAGTCCCGTGCTTAAAGTCTCTTTGGGAAATCAACTTGGTATGGAAGTGAATGCATAATCTAGAACAGTGGTGCTCAGCAGGGTGATGGTGTCCCCCCTAGGGGATTTCTGGCAAGGTCTGGAGATATTTCGGGCTGCAGCAACTGGGGGGTGGGGGGCAGGCTACTACCATCTAGTGGGTGGAGGCCAGGGATGCTGCTCAACATCCTACGGTGCCCAGGATATACCCTACAACAGAGAATGATTCAGCCCAAAGTGCCAGTGGTGCTCAGGTGGGGGAACCCTGGTCCAGATAAAAATGTATCCCTTTATATTTGGATATCACTGGAGGCCCATACTGTCTGCCCAAAGGAAGGTAAACAAGAGATCTAAATTTGATCCCAGGACTCTCTCGAAAGGAATGCATGTACTCTTTTAATTGTAGTAAGATATACATAACCTAAAATTTAGCATTTTTACCATTTTCAAGTGTTTGATGGACTCAGTGACATTATGTGCATTTGCAAAGTTGTGCAATCATCACTACTATCCATTTCCAGAACTTTCCCATCATGCTCAACAGAAACTCTGTGCCTATTAAACACTAACTCCTCATTCCTCCTCCTACCCCAGCCCCTGGCGACCACTTTCTGTCTCATGAATATGACTACTTTAGGTACCTCATATAAGTGAAATCACACAGGATCTGTCTTTTTGTGTTGGCTCATTTGACTTAGCATAATGCTTTCAAAGTATATCCATGCTGTAGCAAGTATCAGAATTTCATTCCTTTTTAAGTCTGAATAATATTCCATTGTATGCATATGGTATATGTGTATATGGAATATATACATATATATATATATACACACCATATTTTGTTTATCCATTCATCTGTTGATAAAGTCATTTTATTAGCTCCCTTAGTGTGTATTAATAAATATTAATACTTCTAGATTCATAAATACACACCAATTGTCCTTCTCTTTTGTCAACAGTGATTCTATTTCATGTAGAAAACACTTTTCAATTGAACAAAGATAATTGTGACAGTAATGTTCAGATTCTGTAAAAGTCTTAGTCTTTTCCTGTAGAGAAAGTGTTCTTATTTTGAGACACAGAGAACATTAGGAAAATAGAAAAGCTTAAAGTAAGGATGAGAACAAAGATGGAGTTAAAATATTTGGCCATGTGCTATGCCCAGTGCATTAAGGAGCCTTGAAAGGTGTCCAGAATCATTGGTGTTATTGTTGATGATGGTGCTGTCTGTCCCGCAACCCATACTCATTTCTTCCTTGCCAACAATCCTGATTTTATTAAGGTAATGGTGCTGATCCCTTGGTTCCAGTGAATGCTGTCCCTTCACAAGCCCCGGAGGATGAATGTTGGCTAAACCAGTCATGAGCAATCTCATTCCCTGTTGCCAGTGGCTGGTCTGGGAATGTGCCCCAGTCCCGACGGAGGTAGGGGGGAGGGGGAGGACCACTGGGAAGGGGGAAGCTCATTGAAAGGATTTTATTCCTGAATAAAACGATTCTCTGTCAAGGAAAAAGGCCTTCTGTCTCTCTTTTCTCCCCTGCTTGGAATTCACTTGCATGATTTGGTTGCCACCTTGCAACCGTGAGGTGACAAGTCTCAGGACAAATGAACCAGTAAGAAGTTGGGGCTTTGACGGTGTTTTGTTTTGGTTTTTTTTAAGATTTTATTTATTTATTTGACAGAGAGAGATACAACGAGAGAGAGTGCACAAGCAGGGGGAGTGGGAGAGGGAGAAGCAGGCTTCCCACTGAGCAGGGAACCCGAAGCGGGGCTCGATCCCAGGACCCTGGGATCATGACCTGAGCTGAAGGCAGACTCCCAACAACTGAGCCACCCAGGGGCCCCTATGGTGTTGTTGATCTACTACATCAACTCTGCAACTACCCAGCCCAAGATTTCTTGTTATATGCAAACATTAAATAAACGTCTTTTTTTTTTTTTTTTTTTTTTTGCTTGATCTACTCTGTTGGATAGTCTGATTCATGTGGCTTGTGCATTCTACAAGCTACATGGCTCATAGCTCACCTCTTCTTGGAGCTCCAGGAAGGACTTCCAGAGAACATGCTGACTGGCTTCCCAGTGAGGATGGGCCACCAGGTGGAGTATCTGGAAGAGACACGTTAGGAGATCAGCTAGCATTTTTCTGGCTAGCTCGCTATAATATTAGCTATTGTGCATACCTGAAACAAATATAACTCATGTGTCAATTTAAAAAAAATTAGTTACTATTACATCAAACTGTCTACATAATTCTCTGCCCACCCACACCCCAAATGTTTGGCAGTCACCTCACACGCACTGTTGAAAGCACTTGTGCTTCATAACCCACTCTCCTTCTTGGGTGCACATCATGGTGATTGGCACCTCCATCCATCCAACAAATCCCCTCAGGCAGGAAGTTGTGAGTCAGCTTGGATTCCCTCCCTCTCTTTCAGTCCTTGGCCCTGTCTCATCCATCCATGCATCCACCCACCTACCCATCCATCTATCCATCCATCCAACAAATATACATATATTGGGCACCAATGTTATCCAGGCAAATTTCGCTAGCATTGGATACACAGCAGTAAACAAGGGCTCTGCTCCATGGACCTTATATTCTAGCGGTGTGGGGAGTTGAGCACATCAAAAATGAACACTTCAGAGGCAGCTGGGTGGCTCAGGCCATTAAGCGCCTGACTTTGGTTCAGGTCATGATCTAGGGGTCCTGGGATCCAGACCCAGGTTAGCTGCTCTGGGCTCAGTGGGGAGTCTGCTTCTCCCTCTGCCCCTCCCCCTGCTCATGCTCTGTCTCTCTCTCAAATAAATGAATAAAATCTTTTAAAAATTTTAAAAATAATCACTTCATATAACTTCAGATAATGATGAAAGTTATATCTACAATTAAACAAGGGTACCTAACAGAGTGATTGAAAGTAGTATTTTAGTTTGGGTGGCCAGGAAAGGCTTTTCTGTGGATGTGTTGTAAGATCAAAAATTCCAAATGTTTCCTGGGCATCTTTGAGCCTCACTGGACCCCCAAAATGTGAGCCTAAGTGTGAGTTCTGGTGCTCTGGCCAGGTATGCCCTCACCTAGTGGGACAGGCTGCCCACTTGACTAGTTTTCCTAGCAGAAGTAGACCAGCTGCCCCCCACCTCATCCCCTATCTCCTAGACCTAGTGCACCTCACCTGGTGGTCCTTATTCTCAAACGCCCAGTTCCCTGCTGGCCCATGAAATCATTCAAACAAGTCAATCTCATCCTTTTTTCAGGAATCACAAAGCACCGCATGCTCCTGCGTCTACAAAGCCTGCCTCCCACAGCCCCTGTGGGTTCACTGTATTCCTGAGTGCAACCCTGTGAGACCTGCATGGTGCATGGGATCTCCTCCCCTGGGCTGTGAGTGCATGTGACTGTTGTCAGTCTCATCTGTCCTGGGTTTGGTGTCATGTGTCCAGCCATCCAAAACCATTTAGGGAGGGCTATCCCTCCTCCATCAATGGGGTGAATAGGGGGTAATCAGAACACCATATAAGACACTTAATCCAAGATCTAAATGGCAAGGGGCCAGATATATGAGCAAAGTTGTTCTACGCAGAAGAAAAAACAAAAACAAAAACCCACAGCAAGGGTAAAAGTCCTGGGGAGGAATACGATGACACAAGAGAGGAATGAAGTTGGAGTGGAATGAGCTTCAGGGTAAGTGCTGGGTGGGTTTGGAGAGACAGGCTCAGCCAGATCTTGTGGGAGTAGGTCGAGGAGTTTGGATTACATTCTATTCACAACAGAGGCCTTTGGAGGATTCAAAACAAGGGAGGGGAATGATTTAATCAATGGTTGTAAAGATTATTGTGCCTGCGGAGTGAGGAAAGCCTGTAAGAAGCCGTGGGGGATGGGGGTGGGGTGGGAAGCAAAGCAGAGCTGGGGCAGTTAGCCAAGCGCAAGGTGGGTTACCCACTGGGTGGCAGCACTGGGAGGCAATGCTTGGAGCTGGAAGTACTGGGATTTGCCAAAAACCGGATGTGTGAGGTTGTAGGAAACAAGGACTGGGTGCCAAGGGTAAACTAATCACAAATGACAGAAATCAGACTTCACGCTCATTAGGATGGCTGCTTTGAACAAATATAACAGAGGGCTAGCATTGCTGGCTAGCCGGTGGAGTGTGCGGCTCCTTATCCCAGGGCAACGAGTTCGAGCCCCACCTGGGGCACAGAGATTATTTTTTTTTTTTTAAATGGGGGGGAAAAAGACACAAAAACCTAGAGATAACAGGTGTTGGCGGGAATGTGGGAAAATTGGAAACCTCGTGCACTGTGGTGAGAATTGTAAAATGGGGCAGCCACGATGGAAAACAATGCATTCCTTAAAATATTAAAATAGAATTACCATTTGATCCAGCAATTTCATTTCTGAGTACATACTCAGAATAATTGAAAGCAGAGCCTCAAAGAGATATTTGTACACCCATGTTAACAACAGCATTATTTACAATAACAACCCAAGGCTATTACTTTTTGGTTATTGTAAATGATGAATGAATTAAAATGTAATGTTTGTGTGTGTATGTGTGTGTGTGTGTGTGTATTCCATACGATGGAATATTATTCAGCCTTAAAAAGGAAGAAAACTCTGACACATGCTATAACATGGATGAGTCTTGAAAACATTATGTTGGGTGAAATAAGACAGTCACAAAAAGACACTCTATGAGTCCACTTCTATGACATATCTAGAAGAGTCTAATTCATTTATAATAATTTTGTTATGTGTATTTTACCACAATTTTATTTTATTTTATTTTTAAAGATTTTATTTATTTATTCATAAGAGACAGAGAGAGAGACAGGCAGAGGGAGAAGCAGGCTCCCCACTGAGCAGGGAGCCCGATGCGGGACTCGATCCCAGGACTCTGGGATCATGACCTGAGCCGAAGGCAGACGCTTGACGACTGAGCCACCCAGGCACACTTTACCACAATTTAAAAAAAAAAGCGGGCTCCTGGGTGGCTCAGTCGGTTAAACGTCTGCCTTCGGCTCAGGTCATGATCCCAGGGTCCTGGAATCGAGTCCCACATCGGGCTCCCCGCTCAGCAGGGAGTCTGCTTCTCCCTCTGCCTCTGCCAGCCGCTCTGCCTACTTGTGCTCACTCTATCTCTCTGTCAAATAAATAAAATCTTTATAAATAAATAAATAAATAAATAAGGCGATCAGTGAGTATTACAGCTGACAAAGACGTCAGAGTTTTTTTTTTTTAATTTTATTTAGTCATTTGAGACACCCAGAGATACAGAGAGAGAGCACGAGCAGGGGGAGAGGCAAGGGGAGTGGCAGAGACAGAGGGAGAAGCAGGTTCCCTGCTGAGCCAGGAGCCCGATGTGGGGCTCGATCCCAGGACCCTAGGATCATGACTTGAGCCGAAGGCAGGTGCTTAACGACTGAGCCACCCAGGCACCCCCAGAAATGTTTTATCTTAGTGTTTTCTGAAGTGTGCCATGAACACCACCCACATCCAAATGCCGATTCCTGGTGTTCCTAACCTGCTGGTCTTGGATTCTACCTTCCCAGCAGGGTGTCTGGATGATTCCCACGCACATTAACATGCGAGAACCACTGAGCTAGTCCAGTCCCTTTTGTCTTACTGATGAGGCAACAGAGGCCCAGAGAGGTACACCGATTTTCCAGCACCACACAGCTAAAAATAAGCTGAGCTTCAGACCATGGGGCTGCCTTTCGATGAATTGAAATGACATGGTCTAGAGAAGGATGCTTGCCCAAAGTCATCAGTTGTGATGCCGGGGAGAGGTTTAGGTGCAATGGGAGAAGGGGGGGCCCTTCATACTTGTATATTATTTGAATTTCCTATAAGAAGTATGTAGAACTTCTATAAGTAAAACAATTATATGAGATCATAAATGAATACATTTATTCTTTTTTCTTTATTGCTGATAGCGCTTTGATTTTCATAGGTGTTCTTGAGTAAAGATGGAACGTCTCACACACTCCCGCAGTCCGAGGCCTCTGCAATGTTCTCCGACGATGGAGACAGGGAAAGGAGCCACCTGAGACCGGATCTGAGGAGGCCTCTTGTCATCGCGCCTCACCAGCTCAAGAGAATCTGCCCCTAAATTTCTATTAATTACAAGCCAGCGGGCATCACATTGGGAACTTCAGATCAGCCCTCCCGGGAGTATTTACACCACGGAGAGTAGCAAATTCTACAAACCAGGGTCTCTGTTTTCTCATCTGCGCCACCCTCAATAGCAGCTGGTATCCGCTGCGCGTCGCCTGAAACCCTCTGCGGGTTTTATCCCAGGAACTCTCGTCTGGGGGCAAATCGTGTTTTTCTGAGCCTCAGTTTCCTTACCTCTATAACAGGGGTGATCATAACAATACCTCTCACACAGCACTGAAAGCACAGAGTGCGTCCTTGTGCGCCGGAGAAAGCAAGTAGCGCGCGTCCTTGTGCGCCGTGGAAAGCACGGAGCGCGCGTCCTTGTGCGCCGTGGATGCCGTGTTAATGGGAGCGAGTGGGTGTTAGCAGCACCGTGATTATCTCATAGGACAGGAGATACAGTAAGAGAAATCGGGGCGCTGCAGAAGCCAGCTGGGCTGGTTGAGGGCCAGGGGCAGGCCCGGAGGGGGAGGAAAGAACTCGCGCACGAGGTAGTGCCTCCAGGGTTCTGATGGTGAAGCAGGCGTTTTCCGGGCAGAGCGAGCAAGGCCAAGGGCAGAAGCAAGAGCCGGGTCTTGTGCGCGCGGCGACTGTCGCTAGCGGAAGGGCCCCCGGCGGGACCTGCGGCCTCCTTACCCCTCACCGGGTCCTCTCTCTGTCCTCTCTCCCACAGGTCCCGCCGGCCTCCTTACCCCTCACCGGGTCCTCTCTCTGTCCTCTCTCCCACAGGTCCCGCCGGTTGATGCGCTGGAAGAGGCCCAGCGCCAGCGGCCAGGCGGCGTCCGGCCCGCAGTGCGCCACCAGCAACTGTGCGGTGTCGAGCGGCCCTGCCGGCTCCAGCCGCCCCCAGGGGATCCTGCCCGCCTCCACCTCCGTGCCCAGGTACAGCTTGAATTTCTTCAGCTCCACGGCCTCCAGTTCTTCCAGGTAGGCCGAGAGGCGACAGAGGCCGTCGCTGACCGTGGCTCGGGGCATGGGGGCGTCGTGCCCCGCGAAGGGCAGAAGCCGGAGCCCGGGGTGAGGGATGCCAGCTCGCCCACCGTCGGCGGCTCCTCAGGCCCGGCTGCCGGAGCGAGAGAGCAAAGTCCTAGTGTTGAAATAGAGTCCCCCCAGCCCCCCCCCCCGCCCCCCCCGCAGGGGACGCCTGCCCTGCCCCAGGTCGCGCTGTTCCCTTCCAAGAAGAGGAACTTGGTCAGATTAGGAAATCCCAGGAGCCATTCCACCGTGAGAAGGACTTTCACTTCCGCTCCCTCTTCCCGCATCCCTTGGCCAAGAGCCCTACTCCTTCCTCGATCCTTCCGGCTGTTTCTCTTGGCGCTGGCGTGCCTGTGGTCCTTTGGATTATTATCAAGCTAGCTTCCGCCCCTCCTTGCGGGATCCTTTCTGCTGGTATAGGACTTGGACAGGGACCCTGCAGTGGCAGATGGCCCCTGAGCCAGAGGGATGTGAAACGTGGGCAAATGTGAGCAAACCTCCCTTCCAGGTAGAAGCATGAAGAACCTTAACTTGCAGGGGCCTGCTGTTTTCTCTTTTCTTGGCCCCAAGACTGTCATATACCTACCACTGTGTGGTAGGATAATGGTCCCCCAAAGATGTCTGTGTCCCAATCCCCGAACCTCTGAAATGCTACCTTAGGTAGCAGAAGAGGCTTTGCAGATGTGATTAAGGCTCTTGAGACAGGGACATTGCCATGGATTGTCCCGGTGGGCTTGGTGCCATCACAAAGAGGATCAGAGTCAGAGGCAAGAGAGTTGGAAGCAGAGGAAGGAGTGATATGATTGATATCTGGCTGGAAAAGGCAAGAAATGGATTCTCACCTGGAACCTCCAAAGGAACAGCCTGCTGACACCCTGATTTTAGCCACCTTTCAAACTTCTGACCTCCAAAACTGTAAAATAGTCAATGTGTGTAGTGGGGATTTGTTATAGCAGCATAAAAAAACTGATACAGACTCTTTTGTCTGCATTGGACCAGAAATGAGAAGAATGTAGATGTAGCCAGGGCTAGCAGACTCACAGTGAACTTGTAAGGAAACATGTTGCTGTAGGTCACGAAGAGGGAGGGCTCATTCCTTACTGCGGCGTACCTCAGCCAAGACTGACTGGCATAGGGATTTAATGATTTGGGGAGGGCGGTCAAAGCAGCACTGTTTCACTTAGGATGCCTTGGGCTGAAACTAGGGGTCCTAATTTCAGTGCCTTAAACAATAAGGAGAAACAAACTACAACTACAAGAAATAATATGGATGGATCCTAGGGGCATAATGTTAAACAAGAGAAGGCAGATATTAAAAAGTGTGCTCTATATAATTACCTCTGTATGAAATTCAAAAACAGGTAAAACCAATGAACAGTGTTGGGAGTTAAGGTATCAGTTGCCCTGGGAAGGGGGTCCAATTCAGCCCCAACTGTTCTGATCACCATTCTCTTCCCAACAACTAGACCAGCACTGGAAATGCTGTAAATGCCCCCGTTGTATTTGATGAGATATATAATGAATGAATCACACATACATATAACGTTTTATGTGACCCAAGGTGGAGACATCACTTAAGGGAGGGCACAGTATTTGAAGAAAAAATATACGTATTTTGTTAAACTACTTGGAATGAAAATGAGACCTTAAAGCTATGTCCAGCCTATGGGCAGTGCAGGCTAGATCATCCTGTGTGAGAAAGGGAAAGCAGAGAAAAATGGGGGAAGGAGATAGAGAAAGTGGGGAAAGCTTTCTGTGAAATGATAATACCTTCCTCACTTGCGTATGAAAATTGTGGAATGCTTGATGGGGGTGGGGCACTCTGGTGGAAAGTTGTGACGGGATTTTTATATGTTTATCATTGGTCTGGATTGATTAAGAAGACAAAATGATCGACCTGAAACAGGAGACAGGGGGTTAGGAATGTTTTTCCACCAGGACTCATAAATGTGAGTGGCTCCCATAGGTATCAGGGAGTCGGTGAGTGCTTCTGTGCATGCCAACAAGGTGAAGACAGCATTTGGGGGAGTTCCTGCTGACTTTCTGGGGACAGCAGTGCAACGTGGAGATCCCCCCAAGTGTCTCTCTCCCCCACCCTGTACCCCACCACCTTACTAGCCGTGTGCCCCTGGAAGAGTCACCTTACCTTCACTCCAAACCTCTGAAGGCTCAGCCAAGGAATGAAGAAATAGGACCCAGGACAAGTCTTTACATAACCTATGTAAAATGGGAATCTCAGAGGTGAAGTATTGGGATCTGACCCTCAAATGTGACCTACTTCTATTTTCCTACTTTCACTAACTACTGTGGCCTCCGTGAGTCTACCCGTCCAGCTGCATTGCTGTTAGAGGCAGGGATGGGACAGATATGCTCAAAGGGGAGGGGAGGGACTATGAGAGCCAGTAAATGCTTTCTGGACTCAGAATACAGCAGCACTCAGAATACACAAAGAATATAGCTTCAGAGGAGGTTATTTAAAGAGTGGGATTGGGGGGCGCCTGGGTGGCTCGGTTGGTTAAGCGACTGCCTTCGGCTCAGGTCGTGATCCTGGAGTCCCGGGATCGAGTCCCGCATCGGGCTTCCTGCTCGGCGGGGAGTCTGCTTCTCCCTCTGACCTTCCCCCCTCTCATGTACTCTCTCTCTCTCATTCTCTCTCTCAAATAAATAAATAAAATCTTAAAAAAAAAAAAAAAGATTAAACCTCCGTAAAAATGTCTTCAGAAGCCCTTGGCATAGAACAAACATGAGGAAATAAATAAAAAGCATTTATATAAATGAGAAAAAAATATGGGTTCACTTTGGATTCTCCAAAGCCATGGAGTTGAGAGTTTTAGAAGCCAAAGATGCCCCAGATACTATCTGGGTGACATTGGTTAAAAAATCATTAAGCACCCAACTCTGTGCTCCTGTTCAAGGTTGAGCGTCTGCCTTTGGCTCAGATCATGATCCTGGGGTCCTGGGACCGAGCCCCGCATCGGGCTCCCTGCTCAGCGGAAAGACTGCTTCTCCCTCTCCCACTCCCCCTGCTTGTGTTCCCTCTCTCACTGTGTCTCTCTCTGTCAAATAAATAAATAAAATCTTAAAAAAAAAAAAAAAATTAAGTCCAGGGTCAGTCCTTGCTAGGGGCACAGCTGACCTAGGTAGACAACTTAGCCATGGGGAACCTCTCTGCTCTGCTTTCTTCTGCATTTGTTTCGTTGCCTACAGATCTCTGCATCCCATGTCACCTCACTGAGCAACACCTGCCAGGTAAGGTTCTGCCCGCTGAGTCCCTGAAGGGGAGCCCCACTTTCCCACAGCTCTCATTGGCCAGATTCAGTCACATGCCCACCCGCTTCTGATTGGTCAGCCAAAGCCTGGTGCCAAAGGCTGTGCCCCACGTGGCCTGAAAGTTAGGGGGAGGTGGGTTGGGGGGTTGGGAGACACTTCTGTAACCAGAAGAGTGGGATCCGGATGCTGAGCAGGTGTCCATACGATGGCGAGAAGGGGAATGAAAGACAGAAGGAGAGGCTAGAACAAGTTGAGGTACCCATGAGAGCCCCTGCAAACACTTTATTTATTTATTTATTTATTATGTTCAGTTAGCCAGCATATAGTACAGCATTAGTTATTGATGTAGTGTTCAATGATTCATTACTTGCATATAACACCCAGTGCTCATCACCACAGGTGCCCTCCTTAAAACCCATCATCACCCAGTTACCCCATCCCCCTGTCCCTTCTTGCAAACACTTTTAACAGTGATGGATGTTCTGCAAACTGTCATTAAAATATCTCTGTCATTTCAGTGATATAAATCCCTCCTCTGCCCCTCCACGAAATCTTCAGTAAAGTCTGCTGTTCTCAGGAATGTTTTGTGTGAGTGGATTCCCCTTGAGTCTCGTTTTTGGGGAATCAGAGAACGCATGTGTGAAATAATACCCCCACTAGGCAAAGGAAGCTCTAGAACATTATAACCCTTCCACCGTTTGTAGTCACTTTGCTAGAGAGCAGTGTAATTGACAGAGGTTCAAGAGAAGTTTCTTAGATCATCAAGGTCAAGGAAACCAACATTAAGGTTAAGAATATCATCCACTATCCAGAATAGGGTTGCTTTTAAATATGACAAAAATAGCGTATTTCATGATTTGTTTCATTGGGTGCACCATAAATTATGATGATTTATACAACTTAGATTCGGTCTTTACCTGTCAATTCCACTGTGATTTAAGTAAGTTTTATTTTTCCCCTATAACAAAGCTGAAGGTTAGCTGCTCAGTTGCTCACCGGCACTCTCAGGGGACCCCAGCTCTTTCCAGTGTGTATTCCCCTCCATCCCTGGCATCTACCTCCATCGTCATGCTTGACGCCTCATCCTAAGATGGCCACCACAGCTTCCAGCATCCCAACCCTGATCAGGGCAGACGTCAGTAGGAAAGGGTGCTATCATTTTATCAGGAAGAGCAAACTCCTGCTCAGAAGACAGCGCACTTTGACTTACATTTCACTGGCCAGAACTGGGCACGTGGCACCTGGTGTAGAGTTCAACAGTTAAAAGAATTCTTGCTATGCTCTTCCACCTCAGTCCATTTGCTCCTACCATGTTTCCGGACTCAAGACTCACCCAGTCCTCAATTCCTGAATCTAGCGTCAAGGTGGTCATGATGACAAACTCTAAAATTCTTGTCACTAAAGTTCAAGCCTGTGATGGTGTGATGCAGTGGAAAGACCACGGTCCTGGAGTCAGACAGGCTGAGTGTGAATTTCGGCTCTGCCTTGTGCTAGCTCTGGGACCTTGGGCAAACCACTCCCTTCTGCAAGTTTCAGTTTCCTCCCTGAAAAAATGAGCATGATAACATCACGTCCTTCATAGTATCGGTGTGAAGATCTGATGAACTACATGACAGGTCGTCTGTAAAAGTCAGGTGTTTCTTTTTGCTGTGACTGATTCTTTTTTTTTTTTTTAAGATTTAATTTATTTATTTGACAGAGAGACACACAGCGAGACAGGGAACACAAGC